TGGTGTCGCTGCTGCTTCCTCTGCGCTTTTCACATTTCCGCCTGTAAAAAGAACCTTCTCGCTCGCCGTCGGCAGTTTGAAACAACTTTATTCATAGCGGGCTTTGACAATTTGTTAAACATGGGTGCACGGGTTACGCGTGTGTTCAGGAATTACAACTTGGAAAACCGAGTGCACCGAGAACTTTCCAAGGACAAGCCGCGAGCGGCGCCCCGGCACTCGGTTAAGCTTCCACCGACAGCCTCCAGCCCGCAGGGTAAGTGAGTGAGTGCTAGCTGGCTTGTGTAACAGTTAACCCGGGGTCATGGTAGGCTCACCGTTCATCCGTGTGTCCTCAGAAAGCTCGGGGACGATTCTCACGTCGGTTTGTGTTTTTCAGAAGTGGATTCGTTGAACCAGAATAACGCGCCGCTGCTGGACCACCTCAGGTCCGTGTACGTGGAGTCCAGAGATCCAGCACCGGCTGCAGCAGAGGTCAGACTGACACTGCCTGAGTGTTTGAATGCTGTTACATCAGCTCTGCTCAATCATTCATTGTTTGTCAGTGTTTTTGCTCTGTTTGGGTCATTCAGACGTTTACAGGTCGAATCTTTGCAAAGTTGAGACATTCATGTATTCTGTGTTATGAAGAATAAAGAAAGACATTATTGATTAACACTGGCTGTTAAAAGGGAACTATCATTATCATCGCCAGCTACATATGTTTCATGCTTGGACTCTGCTTTGCATGAACACAGTTCAAAAATAGTCTTTGCTCTGTTCAGCTGCTGTCTGGAAACAAGCTGCCTAATCTCCTGCTGCTCCCTTTAAGACTGTTTTCTTCTAATTGGCTGGTCCTCGTAAACAATAGGTCGAGCTTTTGTGCTCACAAGTAAAAAAAAAAAAAGTTTTTTAAATTGTTTTAGAATTATCCATCAAAGTCTTTGTAATCAGGTGACAGAAATTTAAAAACCTAATCAACACTCATCAAACAAACCATGTTGATGGTAGTAAGCCACCAGTGATAAATCACCTGCAGCTCCCATGATTCTAGGCCTGGCTGTGTTGTAATGAATCAGTTTTATTCTCAGTTTTTAATTTTTAATTTGAAAAAGAAGAGTTGAATCCTCTGTAGCTCTGCCAGACCAATTTATACCACCATGGCTGTCCATAGCTGGATGATGGCAGGAGTACAGCTGTGACTGTGCTTCTATTTCTTAATCAGAATAGTCAAATATTCATGTGCATCCACATTACTTGAATTTGACCTTTTATCTGTTTATAGCTGTTCATATCTCATCCATATGTGGTCCAGAGGACAAGACATTTCAAAGGGAACAACTGAATATGTAGATTCATGTTAGGCATGCACTAATCCAGTTTTGTCCAGTTATGTTAAAGTTCCAATAAGAGTGTTAAAATAATAAGCTTAATATTGCTGACGCTGAGACTGGAAGTCATTTTTTTCATATTTAAGATAGCATCAGACGGTACATATTCTTTCCTGACTCTGTAAAATAAAATCTAACTAATGCATGCATCTAAGAGTATAAATGATGGACTCAGTATCTGTTAGATTAATAATTTAAAAAATCTGTTAGCATTATTTGTTACATTTATGATTGCAAATGTAATTAGGTTACCTTTATGCCACAAATTATCATAAAGGTAAGGTGGACGTCCTTGCTGTGTTGCGATAGGGGACTTTTTGAACTTGTGAATGACAGATTGGCTAATTTCCTAACTTCAAACCTGACTTTCCTGTGTGGGATTTGCATGTGCACTGGCCAAAAGTTTTTAAATGTTGATTTTTGTTATTCATAATAGTTATTCTTCACTGCTTGTTCTTCCCTCAGGTATCGAAGGACGTGACGGCGGGGAGAGAACAGCGACGACTTCTTAAGTTCAGTGTCCCAGCATCTCCGTTGGGCCTGGTGGAGCTCACAGATGTTCCCATTGGTAAACTGACCATTGCCGAAGCTCTGAAGGCTGTGGGCAGCCACCAGCATCAGCCTCAGACGTGGAGTCCCGAAAAGATCGCACAAGAGTATTCTCTGGACTTGAAAGAAACAAAAGCTCTTTTAGATTTCTTTGTCCCCTTCAAGGTTGAGATCATACCACCCAAGACTAAAAAGACCAAGCAGATAAAGGCTTCGTAGGACTAGAGTCTCTGACATCTCTGTGGAAAATGACAGCGTATTTAATTTATTTATGCTTTTCAGTGTTTGTCACTGCAAGAATGAGCTGATTGAAAGCTTGGATATTACATATTGCTGACATGGAGATGAGATCATAGGAAATTTCATGGGACCTACTGCGAGATACAAAACACCCCTACAATAAACATGAGAATAATTCTAGATATTTAATCTTCTTTGCAATCCTATTGGTTAGTTATCTGATGAAAATAAAACAATCTAAAACTGGGTGATGTCATTATGCAGGTGGATACATCAAAAGGAGTCATTCAGCTCATTCAGTTTGGAAAGCATATTTACTAGATTTTCTTCATAGAGTGACATTCAGATGGACAGGCTCATATTTGAGTTATATGAGAGTCAGGATGTGATTAGCCTAGTTTAGCATAAAGACAGTAAGCAAATGGAAAAGGCTAGCACAGTTAGCGCTGGGATTCCCATAACTTGCATAACTATAAGTCCCCTGGGCATCTCAGTCAGGAAACCTGATCCAAAGATACAATTAGCAGGAGGAACTTCTCTAATTAGCATCTCTTCCTGTGACCTGGGGGGTGCACCAAAAACCCAGCTTGACGTAACCAAGCTTGCCTGACAAAAGCCTTGGCAAAACCAAGAACTTTAGGGATAAATGCTGTTTTGTGTGTGGTTATCAGCTTTCTTTGTTAATCCAGTTTTATGTTTTGTTTTTTTTTGTCCTTGTGTCATCATCAGTCAGTATTGAAGTTCATGTGATTACAGTTTTACAGTTACCTGCTTCTGGTGCACAGCTGAACTTGTTAAGGTATATAGAACTCCTCTCCTGGGTAGAAAACACATGTCACTTTTATAGAAAATTAGTAATTCTGTGACATTTTTTAACATCAATACTGAGCGTCATTGAAAACAGACGTTAGCCTTAACAGACCTCGTTAACAAAACTGGGTGTAGCCAACTGTGATGTTGCCAGTTGATAGTAAAGTCATGGTTTGAACCCTTGAATATTTTAGCAAACACCATCTTGATGTTGTCAAATACATATTGAGTGAGGGGTGGATTTGTATGTGAGTCAAACATGAACTAAAGTCTGATGTTCTTACTAAAAAAGTACGGTAACCATAATTTATGAGGAAATAGGTCAAGGGAGCTAAAATGTCTTTTTCTCATATTTTGCTAATCAGATACAGAATTTATTTTTGACTTCAGCTTCCATCTTTTATATATAGTCTGTGGAGGCATTGAACTAAATCGCATATCTAAACGCAGGTCAGTAGTAGATGAAAATACAAAAGATCATAGGTCAGGTTTTATTTTTCAACAATGCAGATCACATGATAAAACGGTGCAAATTTAGTGCTATTATTGTTTTAAGCTAATGGCTAACTCCACCTCTGTACCTCTGCATACAATTCACTATCTGTGGTAATAAATACATATTTCTATTTTAGACCACTTTAAGATTCTACTGTTTAACTTTTGAATTGGGTTCACATAAGGAGTCAAATGTAGCTCTAGTTTGTCCTGTTTCAGAGTTATTATCCAATAATGAAAGCTATAGCCTTGGAATGAAAGTGCAGTTCCTCTAATACTGTCACTTGTAGTAGTTAAAGACCTGTTTGCTGATACTGTGCTTGTATACAGGCTTGTATGATGAGAGTAATTCCACTGTACAAACCACACACAAAAGACAACAAACAGCAGCAGTCTGTTTCTAACTTGTTGAAATGTTCTTTTAAAGATGTCAGACAGTGTCGTGTCTAAAACGTAGCTGTTTATTACTACATATGAACTCACTGACATTTGTTCTGTTGACTTTTTTTTTGACTCCATCCACCCCATCCACCAGTGTCACAGATCTGGATTACTCAGCATTCCAGGTAAGACAGTGATGCTCGGAAATGTTGTTTTGCTGACAAAGGAGATGAGTGTTGTCTAACACGTGGGTCCAAAGTTCTATGGATGGGGCTGTTTTTAATGTAGAATTCATGGAGCCACATCATGGAGTATATTTATGAGTGAAAACAATCCTGTGCCATTTATACCATCTGCTGCATATACGCACAATTTTTCAAATAAAAGGAAAAAAAAATCTTCAAATAATTGAATTTCTTGTACCGTCCAGCCACACTGCACAATATCCTGAAAACACCGTGATTACTTTAGAGCTAATGTACTGTCTTTGTTATCTTTACCACCCACTGCATGCATCCGCACATGCCCCAAAAAGCACTTCCGCTAAAACAAGCCACGCCCCACTTGCACAGTCTATCTTTTATATTGGACGGTGCTCGAAACGGGGCACCTCACTAGGAATATCCACTTTTGTCCATGACATTCTGTGTATGTCAGTTATCAAGGAACGCAAACCTTACCGGAAACTGTGTAGCCTTATCTTCAAAATAATGCAGATAATTGATTTATAAATCAAAAATGCAGAAACAATTTAGCCATACGCCATGAAATTTATTTTTGAGTTAAAGCTTAGCTATTTATTTTTCAACACAATCTTTAAAAAAAACCCTATTCATACACATTTAATTTTTTTAAAGATATGTGACAAAATTTGCAATTACAAATAAAGTGGGACTTTTACAAGAAAAACTTGTTTTTGAAAAATCCTCATCAGATGATTTTTAGCGCGAGGCAGCAAACTGTTTATACCATGCGGAAGGTTGAAGTGGGACAACTGCAACAGCATTTAAGAGCTTTTTAGGTGTACTGTTTATAACATAAACCACATGAAAACAACCAAATCAACTTTACATCCACTCAAAAACACTATTTAAAAAAACACAACTAGTTCTTTATTTTGAAAGGCAATATAGGAAGTAGCGGGTGTCTGCGCCTTCCCGCAGGCAGCAGCCAGTGAGAGTAGTTTAGAACCGTATGAGGAAAATCTGGGCTCCGTACAGTAGACGCTCACATACAGTGACACTGGTACATTTGTCAGTGGAGGATGGGCCGTTCACACCTCACATATGGACGAAGGAAAACAAAGATTCGAGCAGGAAACCTTCCGTTTTCCCGCCGCGGATAAGCAGCTGTTGCTGGAAACAAAGCCGTTCTGACCAAACACAGATTTCACTTTTTTTTTCTTCTGAGGCTTCATTTGTGGAGGTGGTGGCATCACCGGCCGTCGCGCTGTTGCCAATATATATATATATATTTTTAAAAAAAAAAAAAGCTAAAACAGGGTTTTTCTCGGGCACATCAGCAGTTATGTGTCTTTCTCTACACCGACGACCATGAAGATTTTTGGAGGTGAGATGCTCCATTTTCCGGACTGAGCTTCTGTACTTGAGCTGCTCCTGAGCTCTAGCATGGGAGAATGAAGCAGGTAATAATATTAGCGAGTATACTTTAAACCCGACCAGCGGCGGTGTAATAATGACATTCATGTTTTGTGTTAAAACATGAATTAGGCCGTTTGTTCAGAACACCCACTGTTCTCGTCGCTTACAGTAATGTGAAGTGTCTGTTTATTTTCTCGGTCTCTGAGCTTGAGTGGATGGCTCCAAATCACCGAATCCTGTCGAAACAAGCGGTTTCATGCTCTGTGAAACAGCGTTCGGCGAGCTGCTTCGGCCTGGCGTAAATAGCTGTGAGTTGGGGTGGATGAAGGGAAGGCCTGGTCTGTACTAGGCACTAATATTCCATTAAGGTCGTTGTTCATCTGTCTTTGAGGGGTATCTACCGGTGCCAAGTACCAATCCAGTACCAGTGTTCAATAAGCTCCAGTCAGTGCGTGGAAGAGACTGGAAACCATCCAGGGAACATCAGCCTTCACTGAAACATTCTTTTTCTGAGTTTATAAAATAAATGTAGCAAGTAAATGCATACAGCAATCTAATTTTACAGTTTTTTTTAATTAATACATTTTATTTTACAAAAGGCTAACAGTGAAACAAATTAAAGTAGATATTCAGTAGGGGTGGTGGAAAAAATCGATACTGTGTAGTATCGTGATATTTTGTTTGCTAATAATGTATCGATACAGGGACAGCAGAAATCGATATTTTGTTACAAAAAACGTTTTTGTGGACTGGAACTCTGACTTCAGAGCATGTTGATCAGCTCCTTTTTCTGAGCAAGAATCCTGACATTCCTTCACTGTCCAAATGTGTTTAACTTTTTTTTTGGCAGCAATAAACATGACAGTTTACTTATTTTAATTTAAGACATGTTTTATTTTAATTAAGTTTAAAACTTTTTTATTTAATGTAAAATTATATTTTGTTTTAATTAACTTTCAAATTCTTCAGTTGCTGAATGGGCTGCATAGTTTTCATAAATTGCATAGTTCAGAATAGCTATAATTGTACCAGATGGTTGCATTCAGTTAAGTTGGACTAGACTGTAATACAAACCGTTCAGTTTGTCAACAATAAAACTGACTGAAATGAGAGAAAGACTGAGTGCGAGACTTTGATATTAGATAAAATGAATATTGATAAAGTTTACCTTTATGTACAGAATCTGAATATCGCAAAATATTTTTAAAAAATTGCAATAATATCGTATCGTGCGTTAAGTATTGTGATAATATCGTATCGTGCGTTAAGTATTGTGATAATATCGTATCGTGGGATGTATCGTGATTCCCACCTCTAATATTCAGTGTAATTTCAGCTTGGTGTGAGGGTTGTATGGTTAAGCATAAAGTGGTTGAACCAGTTAGTAAAGTTGGAGCAACCATCACCAACCCTGACTTGATAATCTGGCTGTAATGCACGAAAAAGCAGTAAAACTGTTAAACTTGCTGCAACATTTGACTTGTGAGGCAAATATAACGCAACAGTATACTGCTGTCATTTACAGTTGCACTTCTTCCACTCAGTCTGACAGTGAAATTTATACTTTGTTAAAACTAGGTTATAGGTACAGCGTAGCCACAAACCCTTCTGAACCCCTTTGCTGTAACTGATGCTGTAGCCTAACATGCACTGCCCCCAAAATGTAACTACATGATGGATGATGCGGTCTGCAGCGGTTGTGATAGGCTGTTCAGTGGTGTTCATTTCTTCCATGTCTATATTTTGCTACGTTTTCTGCGGCTGCTATTTTTCAAAATGTCTGGAAGAGAAAGGATTAACTCAATCAGTTGACAAGAGGCAGTTAAAACCTATTATTGTTAGGCCAGTATTATGGTCTCCAGTTATGGCAGATGGCCACCCCGGTTCTGCTGGAAGTTTCTTCCTGTTAAAAGGGAGTTTTTCCTTCCCACTGTCGCCAAAGTGCTTGCATCTTGAGGCTATTGTTGTTGTGATTTGGCGCTGTATAAATAAAATTGAATTGAATTGAATATTACTGACTTCAGTTGTGGTCAGAAATTTACATTCACTCATCATGCATTTTTGGGGGGATTTCATGTAATCCTCACAGGTTAAAAAGTATACATACAGTGTCAAATATAATCTTTTAATAGATGGTGCAGTATGTTTTAACTTGACACGGTCTGTTGTTGATTAGCGATCATGATTGACTACTCTTTCGTAATTTATCTGTGACAGCATTCATTGCAGTGACCCACACTCAGAATAATGGGAAAATCAAGTAAACTTAGTGAAGTTCTAAGGAGAATTGTGAATTTATACAAGTTAATAATTCTTAATAGGAACATCATCCCATGTACACATCAAAACTGGTGTTGGAATTGATAAAACCTTTGGAATAGCTTTCCTAACACACCAACCCCAGACCTGTTAAAAATCTGTGGAATAGTTTTAAAAACCCCATGCCAATCAATTAAATTTAACGCTTAATATTCTGCCAAGAAAAGTGGTCAAATATCCATCCAGAATTATGTCAGACTTTTCTTTATGGCTACCAGAAGTGTCCAGTCAATTTGTAACATCCAAAGGGACATTCAACCAAATCTTATATCGTATATTTATACTTTTAGCGCTGTGTGGATGAAAGAAAATCCAAAACAAATGTGAATTTTCTTTTTGTTTTCTTTAATAAGTCATTAAAGATGTATGCACAATGATTCCACCCTGGGAAAAGAACAGCTCAATAAAATAAGTGGATGCTAACGTCTAACTGAAACTGTATTGGCATAGGATTCATTTGACTTCTTGACCCCTAGCTTGCAGTAGGGCTGCTGAGTGTAAAGCGAATTGGCACCTCCAAATCTGAGATCATAGACCCACAAACTCTGTGTAGTGACAACAAGATTGAGGTTGTGGATAATCTTTCTTCACCCTTAAAGATAAGGTGAGGAGCGCGATTATTTGGAAAGAGCTTGAAGTAGAGCTCTTACTCTTCATCTACATCAAAAGGAGCCTGTTGATGTGGTTTGAACATTTGACAAGGATACCTCCCAGACACCATCTATATAGGGTGTTTCATGTCCCACCAGTAGGACTACCTGGTGAAGATCCAAGACACACTAGAGAGATTATATCTCTTGGCTGGCTTGGGAATGCGTTAAAGTCTCCCAGAATAAACTGAATGGAAGAAGCAGCTGGGTAGATGTAAATCTGGGCATCTTTGCTTAGACTTGAATCTGGATGGATGAACGAAACTCATCTTTTTTTATATCAGATAAATGAACATTTTAAAAAGTAAAGAGATTGGAACAACCTTCAACACCATTCAGCCTTGTTGCTGGTGTTCCAAATGCATTTTTTAAGAAAACCAGAAACAATAAACGGCTGCTCTAGGTATAGTCAGGCAGTGCATAAATGTGTAATTAAAATAACTACACATAGTAAATCATAGGGAAATGTGTTTTTTCACCGATATATCAGAACATCCCATTTTTTAGATCGCCAGAAATCGGTATTAGCATTGCTAACTAATGCTAAATAAACACGAGCAAAACCAACCAAATCTTTATTCTTCCAGAACATTTGAATGCAGACAATAAGGACACTCGGATAAGATAAGATAAGATAAAACTTTATTAATCCCTCAGGTGGGTTCCTCTGGGAAATTCGGTTTCCAAAAGCACAGCACCGACAGAAGTTACAGTTACAGAATATTATATATATACAGTGTTGGGAAGGTTACTTTTAAAATGTATTCCATTACAGAATACAGAATACATGCCCCAAAATGTATTCTGTTACGTTACTCAATGACAGTAACGTATTCTGAATACTTTGGATTACTTAATATATTATCATGCTTTTTACAACAACGTGAATGTACTATTGCTGTGTGATTTATTACTATTACTGAAGGTCCGCGACTCCGAACTGTAGTAAAGGGACCTCTGACTAAAACGGCGGGGTCCCTGTC